TTGGGCAACAGTTAGGGGAAGGGATGTGTCAGGGTATAGGTGAGGAAGGAACCTGGAGCCATATGATGACACTACCCTCAGGGCTGAGGAGCATCAGGGCCACCTGCCCAGGAAGATGGACACAGGCCCTGGATGCTTCTCACTGGGTGTACATCTCAGAATTCAGTTAGCAGAAGCTGGAAAAGGGCTGAGCTCAAATTGTCCTATAATAGGGCCCTGCCCATGCCAGAGATGGTATTTCAAGCCTTTTTGGGCAGAACCTGGACCCAAGGAATTGGCCCCAGAAACTAGTCATTGCCATTAAGTCACCTCTAGGCCACAATGTTTATTGAACACTTGCTGACAGTCAGTCAGCAGTGCCAGGCCCTAAGCCCAGCACCTGTGTAATTTCCCCTTAGGTGGTGTGCAAAGCCTCATTCACCTCAGTTTAGAGTGGGAACTCTGTAGCTAGCGAGATGTCCCAAGGCCTTACAGCAGGACAGTGGCAGAAGCAGGTTTGAATTCAGCAAGCTGGACTCAAAACTAGTGCTGGTTCCACTATAGAGTGCCAAAACTAAATGATGATGGACTGAAAGAGCTCCATGGCCCTGGGTGGGAGAAGACATAGGAAAGGATGTAAGTAAAGCTCAGAGCATCACCCAGAAAGCATGCCACCAGCCCCTTTTCATTTTCCAGGGAAGCAGAATGAATGGTCAAGTTTTCTGGGTTTAAGTTCAGTCTGCCGTTTACAAGCGGCACAAGTTTGTACAATTTGGGGGGTTGGGGAGACAGGGTCTCACTTTGTTGCCCAGGCTAGAGTTTAGTATCATCATAGCTCACAGCAACCTCAAACTCCTGGGCTCAAGTGATCCTCCTGCCTCAGCCTCCCAAGTAGCTGGGACTACAGGTGTCCACAAGGCCTCCCTATTTTTCTATTTTTATTAGAGACCGATCTCACTCTCATTCAGACTGGTCTGGAACTTTTGCACTCAAGGACTCCTCCTGCCGCAGCCTCCCAGAGTGCTAGGATTACAGGAGTGAGCCACCTGCCTGGCCTTTTTCTGGCTTTTTTTAAAAAAAAAATACATAATCTTCCCAACAACCCTTCAATGTAGATATTATCTTTAATTTACAGACAAGGAAACTGAGGTGCAGAGAAGTGAAGTAACCTGCCTAAATCCACAAAGCAAGTTAATTTTTGGAGCTGGGATTCAGATTCAAATTCAGTTTCAATTTTAAACTTCTCACTGATCCGGTCAGCCTCCTCCTAACAACAGGCTGATTCCTACGTGCTGAGCGCAAGATATGATTTTCCTTCAACAACCCTACCAGGCAGGTGCTCCCAACAGCACGGATTGGGGAGTGGGCACCAACAGCACGGATCGGGGAGTGGGCAGAAGGTCTAACAGCGGATTGAGCCCAGGACGCTGAGCATCAGACACTTTATTCCCCAGCAGACTCAGAACCGCGCCCTAGACCTTGCTCAATCTCACTTCCGGGCCGGAAGATCCCAGGGTGGTGCACAGCCTGGCATTTCCTAGTACTTAAGCCCGGGACACAGCAGGCTCCCGGGATACGGAGCACCAAGACGCGCCAGCATCGCGGGATCCCGGAAATAATCGGTTTTCCGGCGGTAGCGTCTTCGGTTGCCAGGATACCGCCCCGGAAGAAGAAAGCCAGCGGCGGGTCCGCCAGGAGGCTGGGCGATGTCTTCCTGCGCGTGCCCGAGTGGGGGCGGGCTGGGGCCGGTGCGCTCCTCGGCACCCCGCGGCGCTCGGAGCGCACAGGCTGGGCCCCGCCGCCTTCTGGCCGCCGAGGGTGTGGCCGTGCGCGTGCGGGCCAGTGCGCATGCGTGAGCCAGAGGCTCTGTCTACGCGGTGGCGACCGAGCGATTTAGATGCCGCTTGCTGGACCCGCGTCCTCCAGGAAGCCTGCGCGCACCATTGGGCTCCTCTGAGTTCCTATGCCTCCACTTGTGCCATCCGATTCTTGTAATTACATTATTATTCTTATTATTGATGATTCCTAGACTTTCATTGTTCCTAGACTTTTTCCATTCATTTGCAATCTGGGTTGTTTCTGTTGGCATCTTTTGCAGGGCGTAGTGCACCTGTGGAGAGAACTCAGGGCAGGAGACGAGCCTGTAGGGTAACTGGACCCAGACGTTTCCCCTCCCTGGTTCCTCCTCTATTAAGAGGGCAGAGCCGGGCGGGGCCCGTTGCCCAGTCCATAGAGTAGCTGGGGCTTTACTGTGGATTAATTCTAGAGGTGAAAGCATTTTATAATTGTAAGCGTTTTGGGTGTTGCCTAAGAAGATTCTTTCTTCAGGAAACATTTAATAAGCACGTTATGGTACTGGGTTATAACAATCAGAAAGATGGGCCCTGCTCTGCCCTCAAAAGACTTACAGAGGGGAGTGTGGAGATGGACAGTGACGTGTAGCTGTGAATGAATGCACTGTGCCAATGTGAAGTCATTGTTTACATTGTTATTTATTATTTTCCTTAAAGATGGTTCTTTTTCCCTTTACAAAGAAGACTTGGAAGAAAACAATCCAGTTGCCCCAGAATCTTAGCCTCGTTGGGAATTCATCCAACTGGTAGTGATCAAAATGTGTAGGGTAGGCAGGTGTGGGCCACCGGCCACATACACCTAGGGTGGCGTGTTCGAACCTGGCCTGGGCCTGCTAAGCAACCAAAAAATAGCCGGGCGTTTTGGCGAGCGCCTGTAGTCCCAGCTACTTGGGAGGCTGAGGCAAGAGAATCACTTGAGCCCAAGAGTTTGAGGTTGCTGTGAGCTGTGACAGCACAGCACTCTACTAAGGGCGACATAGTGAGACTTTGTCTCCAAAAAAAAAAAGTGTAGGGTAGCAGGGATGCAGTGGTGGAGAGGACTTCCACTTTCTTTTTTTTTTCTTTTTTTGTAGAGATAGAGTAGAGTGCTGTGGTGTTGCACAGCTCACAGCAACCTCCAAATCCTGGGCTTAGGCGATTCTCTTGCCTTAGCCTCCCAAGCAGCTGGGACTACAGGCACCCTCCACAATGCCTGGCTATTTTTTCATTGCAGTTTGGCTGGGGCTGGTTTTGAACCTGCTACCCTCAGTATATGGGGCTGACACCCTACCCACTGAGCCACAAGCACCACCACCACTTTCTTTTTTGTTCTTTTAGAGACAAGGCTTCTCTCCATAGCCCAGGCTTAAGTGCAGTGGTATGATCACTGAAGCTTCAAACTCTTGGGCCCAAGTGATCCTCCAAACTTGGCCTCACGAGTAGCTGAGAATACAGACATGAACCACACTCCCAGTTCATTTTTTAATTTTTTGTAGAGACAGGGTCTCAATATGTTACCCAGGTTGTTCTCAAACTATTGAGCTAGAGCAATCCTCTCATCTTGGCCTCCTAAAGTGCTGGGATTAGAGGTGTGAGTCACTGAACCAGCCAGGACTCCCAATTTCTCTTTTCTTTTTTTCTTTTTTTAAGACAGAGCCTTGTTCTGTTACCCTGGCTAGAATACAGTGTCATCATCATAACTCACTACAACCTCAGAGTCCTGGCTGGAGTGATCCTCCTGAATAGCTGGGACTACAGGTAGACATGATGACTCCCATATAATTTTTCTGATTGTTTTTTTTTTTTTTTTTAGAGATAGTTTTACTTTATCGCCCACAGTAGAGTGCCATGACATCACACAGCTTACAGCAACCTCCAACTCCTGGGCTTGGGAGATTCCCTTGCCTCAGCCTCCCGAGTAGCTGGGACTACAGGTGCCCACCACAACGCCCGGCTATTTTTTTGTTGCAGTTTGGTGGGGGCCGGGTTTGAACCCGCCACCCTTGGTATATGGGGCCAGTGCCTTGCCCACTGAGCCACGGGCACCACCCTAATTTTTCTGTTTTAATAGAGATAGGATCTTGCTGTTGCTCAGGCTGGTTTTGAATTCTTTTTATTTTATTTTATTTTTTATTTATTTATTTTTGCAGAGTTTTTTGGCCAGGGGCAGGTTTGAACCCGCCACCTCCAGTATACAGGGCCAGTGCCCTACTCATTTGAGCCACAGGAGCTACCCCTGGTTTTGAATTCTTGACCTCAAGCAATCTACCCGCCTGAACCTCCCAGAGTGCCTAGATTACAGGCATGAGCCATGGTCCCAAGATAGGACTCCCATTTTCTGATGGCTAGAGCAAAAGGGTGAAATGTTTCTTGGGAATGTATCTTCTCCCTGGCTTGCTGTTTCTCTTGAAAGGTTGGCCTGGCTTTTGTCAGGGAGTAGTAATAATTGGGTGTGAATAGCCTCTTGGCAAAGTGTCTGTCCTCCTGGGCCTGTAAGCCTCTCCAACAGGCAGATGTTCCCATATTCTGCAGCAGTCAGCTCAACTCCCAGCCTGATAGCTCATGGAGGTTATTAAATGAAAAGGATATGATCAGGTAAACATTCAAGGTCACTCTGCAGTTACAGGCCATGCCTGCAGGAGACACAGGAGTACTTTGGTTGGGACAGGCATGCTGATCCCCATTCACCCTTTAGAAGTTGGCTCAAGAGTTCCCCCTCAGGGGCACCTTCCCTACCTGCCCCCAGCAGGGCTGTCCTCCTGTTGGGTCATGCGTCTCTCCTCTGTGGTTCTTGGCACAAAATGGCAGTTGAACACTTGTTGGTGACTATTTAACAGTTGCCTTCATCTCCCACTGGACCAGGGATTCTCAGCCTTGACACAAGGTGACATTTGGGGTTGCATAATTTGTGATAAGGGGCCATATACGCATTGTCACAAGCTGAGCAGTATCCCTTGCCCCTACATGCTACACACCAGAGCCTTCCTCCTCCCTAATTGTGACAACCAGTGTTTCTGGATACTGCCAGATATCTCCTGGGGACAGAATTGCCTCTGGTTGAGAACCACTCCTGGGGTAAGGTAAAGCTTGGAGTGGGGACACATAGGCTGGTTCTGTGTGGCGGATGACCCCTTTGGCTTGAGGGGTAGTTAGTTGAAGTTCATAGCTCTAATCACTTAGTTTCTTCCAGGATTATGGCAGGAAAAGTGAAATGGGTCACTGATATCGAGAAGTCAGTGCTGATCAATAACTTCGAAAAGAGAGGATGGGTGCAAGTGACAGAAAATGAGGACTGGAATTTTTACTGGTAAGTATAAAAGGGAAGACTCTTGTTTTTCTCAAGCCAACTTACTGGTATTAACTCGCAGATACAGAGTGTGCCTTGTGAGGGACTGTGTCGTCAGAGGCAGGTGGTGTCTTCATGCTATTGTGCTGCCTCCCAGGACACACTTTTCATTAAGTCACGTGCATCATAAGCATACACCTTGTGGAATATTCCCACGTGTGCCACCTGTCAGTCCGGGATGTGAAGTCCAAGGTGCATCTGCACAGCCAAGTGTGGTTAACACTGTGGGGAACTGGAGTGAGAAACAAGAGCCCTCACCCCGCTGGCCAGTGAGTGTTTGTTACAGAGAGTGGGAGGGAGGGACAGGGAAGAGCACTGTGGGCGGTGCTATGGACAGCTGTGGGGAGAGGGCTGGATGGCTGCTTCTCTTCCCTCTTTTATGCTAACAGAGTGCTAGTTGGACTGATCCATGTACAGGAGCAACAACAATGGAAAGGGGAGACTGTAGGTGGCGCTGCACCCAGACAGGCACCTGGGATTCACCCTGGACTCCTCCCTCTGCCTCCCCCACCTCCTGGGATGAGGTCCATGTCCTCTTCTATTCTCCTCTTTTCTCCTCGCACAGTGGCCTGGGCATGGGCCTGTTCTACTCCCTCCCTTGGTTGACAGTGATGGCTTCTGAACTGGTCTCCCTGCCTGGGGCAGCCCCTCCCCGCCCCCCAGCAAGCTTACCCCTTGCCAATATGCAGATACATCTGGTGTTAGGTTCTGCCATCCCCAGCCCCTACAGCTCCCTGGGTAGTCAGCTCCCCTGACTCTTTGAGGTGTTGTGGGACTGGTAAGGGAGCATACCAGGGCCTGTGGAGGCTTTTTAAATTTTTTTGGATACAGAGTCTCATTATGTCACCCTCCATAGAGTACTATGACATCACAGCTCACAGCAACCTCAAACTCTTGGGTTTAAGCAATTCTCTTGCCTCAGCCTCCCAAGTAGCTGGGATTACAGGCACCTGCTACAATGCCTGCTGTTTCTTTTTTTTCTCTTTGTACTTGTCATTGTTGTTTGGCAGGCCCAGGCTGGGCTCAAACCCTGGTGTATGTGGCCGGCACCCTAACCACTGGGCCGGCTTTTTGCCCTACACTTCTTTTTTTTTTTTTTTTTTTTTTTTGAGACAGAGCCTCAAGCTGTCCCCCTGGGTAGAGAGCTGTGGCATCACAGCTCACAGCAACCTCCAACTCCTGGGCTCAAGCAAGTCTCCTGCCTCAGCCTCCCAATTAGCTGGGACCACAGGCGCCCACCACAACACCGGCTATTTTTTGGTTGCAGCTGTCATTGTTGTTTGGCGGGCCTGGGCTAGGTTTGAACCCACCACCTTAGGTGTTTGTGGCTAGCGCCTTAGCCACTTGAGCCACAGGCGCCGAGCCTCTACACTTCTTCTTGCCCTTGCCTTGAGACATGCTACTGGGCAGCCCAGTAACTTCCCTTCTCCCCCCTCCTAATGCATGAAGCTACATATCCTTTTTGTTTGTTTTTGTTTTTGAGACAAGAATCTCACTTTCTCACCCAGGTTTAAGTGCTGTGGCCTAATCATAGCTCATAGCAACCTCAAACTCCTGGTTCAAGTGGTCCTCCTGTCTCAGCCTCCTGGGTAGCTGAGTCTAGAGACGCCTGCCATAACACCCAGATGATTTTTCTGTTTTTAGAAAAGATGGGGTCTCATTCTTGCTCAGGCTAGTCTTGAACTCCTCAGCTCAAAGGATCCTCTCACCTCAGCCTCACAGAGTGCTAAGATTACAGGTGTAAAGACACCCTGCCCAGCCTATTGCTGGTCTTTTTAGTTGTGATAATGGCATAAAACAGTTATCACATGGTATAAAAAAGTCTTTAATGGGCGGTGCCTATGGCTCAAAGGAATAGGGCACCAGCCCCATGTGCTGGAGGTGGCGGGTTCAAACCAGCCCCCGGCCAAAAACTGCAAAAAAAAAAAAAAAATCTTTAACTATTAGAGACTTAGAGAATTATTAGAGAGTCTCAGAAATATTATAGACGAATGCTCGGCATCCATAGCTCAGTGAGTAGGGCGCTAGCCACATAACACTGAACCTGGAGGGTTTGAACCTGGCCCGGGCCTGCTAAAACAATATTGACAACTATAACCAAAAAATAGCCCCGCGTTGTGGTGGGCATCTGTAGTCCCAGCTACTCGAGAGGCTGAGGCAGGAGAATTGCTTAAGCCCAAGTGTTTGAGGTTGCTGTGAGCTGTGATGCTACTGAGGGCGACATAGTGAAATTCTGTCTCAAAAAAAAAAAAAGAGAAATATGGATGAAATGATGCAGTGTTTGGGAATTGTTTCAGAATAAGCCAGTGCTGTGAGGAGTGGGTGGGGACATGTGCTGTCAACTGTCAAACCTGGGTAGAGGGGCTATGTTAATAGTCTCTCTCTACTTTTGTGTGTGGCTGAACTTTTCCTTAGTAAAAGGTTACAAAAAAGATTCTCTTTATGAGCCCAAATGTAGTGGCTCACAACTGTAATCCTAGCACTCTGGGAGGCTGAGGAAGATGGACTGCTTGAGCTCAGGAGTTTGAGACCAGCCTGAGCAAGAATGAGACCCTGTCTCTACTAAAAATAGAAAAACTAGCTGGGTGTTGTGGTAGATACCTTTAGTTCCAGCTACTCAGGAGGCTGAGGCAGGAAGATCAGTTGAGCCCAAGGGTTTGAGGTTGCTGTGAGCTGTGATGCCATGGGACTCTACTGGGGCAACAAAGTGAAAGTCTGTCTAGAAAAACAAACAAACAAAAAAAAAGATTCTTGGGCTTGAGCAATCCTCTTGACTCAGCCTCCTGAGTAGCTGAGACTACAGGCACCCACCACAACACCCAGCTAGTTTTTCTTTTTTCTTTTCTTCTTTTTTTTGAGATAGGGTCTGGCTCTATTGCTCAGGCTAGAGTGCAGTGGTGTCATCATAGCTGATTGTAACCTCAGACTACTGGGCTCAACCCTCCTAAATGCAGGCACTACAAGAGTACAAGAGTATAAGTGTACACAGCCAAGCCTGGCTAATTCTTTTTTTTTTTTTTTTTTTTTTTTGAGACAGAATCTCACTTTGTCACCCTTGGTAGAGTGCAGTGGTATCACAGCTCATACCCATCTCCAACTCTTGGGTTTAGGTGATTCTCTTGCCTCAGCCTCCTGAGTAGCTGGGACTACAGGTGCCTGCCACAACGCCCGGCTGTTTTTTGTTGGAGTTTGGCTGGGGCCGGGTTCCAACCTGCCACCCTCGGTATATGGGACTGGTGCCCTACCCACTGAGCCACAGGCACCGCCCAGCTTCGCTAATTCCTTAAAAAAAATTTTGTAGAGGCTGGGCGCGGTGGCTCACACGTGTAATCTAGCACTCTTGGAGGCTAAGGCAGGTGGATTGCTTGAGCTCACAAGTTCGAGACCAACTTGAACCAAAAAGTGAGACCCTGTCTCTACTAAAAATAGAAAAACTGAGGCAAGAGGATTGCTTGAACCCAAGAGTTTGAGCTATGAGCTATGAGCTATGATGCCATGGCATTCTACCTAGGGCAATAGCTTGAGACTGTCTCAAAAAAAATTTTTTTTTATAGAGACAGGATCTTGCTTTATTGCTTAGGCTAGTCTCAACTCTAGTGCTCAAGTGATCCTCCCACCTTGACCTCCCCAAAGTGCTGAGATTACAGGTGTGACTTTCTATGCCTTGCCAGATTCTCTTTATTCTTTTTTTTTTTTTTTTGAGACAGAGTCTCACTTTGTTACCCTTGGTAGAGTGCTATGGCGTCATAGCTCACAG